GGCAGAATCTGGCGCTAGAATCGACCGTGGACACTAGATCGGAACCTTCAGAATCGATGGAGTACCCGTCGGAGCCGGTAGTGCAACGACCGTCGTATCCCACACCACGATCGATACTTCGCCGGCCGGGATCCGACGAGATTGACAGAAATCGAACATGGGTATCGACCCTAGAATCTCGACCGAGGGCGGGAATGGCCGCCGCAACTCAGATCGAGGCAGAATTCCCCGATCCGGGACGAGGACGTCCATCTACGCCAACGACTAGCCCCGATGCCGATCGATACCTGAGCGGCGATGCTGAGGGCGGAGGGATAAGTGAGAGCATGCCGGCCTAGGCCACCGATCGGACTGGCACCAAGGATATCGAGCCGAAAACGGAAAATCAAACCCAGATCCATCACGGCCAGATCAAACTCGATCCCGATGCAAAACTCCCGATCTGTCCTATTGAAAGCGTCGAACAACGAGATCCGCCGGCAGACGGTGCCACAGCGACCACCCCATAGGATGCCGAGGACGAGGTGGAGATATACTACCATGACAGCCGGCGATTTCTCAGCGGAAGATCTGGAAGGAAACCTGGCCGTCCTTCCCGAAATCCCGATCTCGACTACTGTGAAGGTGAGCATTGAGGATCTGCAGGTGGGAGACACCGGATCGGCTACACCTGAGGAGATCGAGAGGCTGGGCAAATAATCTGGAAGAAACGACATCTTCTTATCGGCAAAGGGAATGCCTTACCCCCGGCGGCCAAGGGCGTCGTATGCGATATCGATGTTGGAAATGCGAAACCGATCGCACTGCGAACCCGGAAAGTGCCCACGCGATTTCGTGAAAAAGTCGCAGGCCTGATCAAGGGCCTCCTGGCCGCCGAGATCATCCGACACTCGACATCACCATGGGCCTCACCGATCGTGATTGTTCGCAAGAGTAATGGTGTGGATATCAGGTTGTGCATTGATTACAAGTTGGTAAACAGCCTCACAAGGCTGATGGTCTACCCTATGCCTCTGATCAGCGATCTGCTAGAAGATCTGGATAAAGCACTATGGTACTGTTCGCTGGATATGGCTAGCGGTTTCTGGGTCGTGCCCATGACGGATCGGGCTCGCGAGATCTCAGCATTTATCACCCCGTTTGGATTATTCGAATGGAGTCGCATGCCATTTGGTCTAAAGAATGCCCCTCAGATTTATCAACGCCTCGTAGACAACGCGCTGTATGGATTTCTGAAGATCTCGCGGTCCGGCGACGCTGGGACTACGACTGACGTGTTCCAGACAGGGATCGCGGACGATCCAGGTCGCGAGTCAGTGTTGGGACGGAGATCATACATCGACGATATCATGA